ATATCAAAAGCATGCAGAGTGTGAGTGAAGGGCACCTAAAATAAAATACCCACCAATAATATTCCACCCAAGTAGCCCTTTGCAGTGGGATATTGCAAAGATTGATATTGCGATGCTTACAATTGAATATGTTGTGCTTCTTTATTCTGCTCTTTAATTACTTTATATGTGACCCAAATTGGGTTGCTTTTAAACGCATCAGTTTGAAAGAGCGTTGCACCTTTGCGTAGTGACATGTTCCCATGGCTTTTTGACTGAATTTAAGAAAAACACCAAGATGAAAAAGGTTAACTGACATTTGATTTCAGTATTGACAAATTTGTAAAAAAAAAAAAAAAAAAGTAAAATCTAGGAAATATAAATTTGATGAATAAAAGTAGAAATATGGGAGGACTTTCAGGGCTTATCTCAGGTCATGCAAGATTTTTTTTATCCTATTTCTTAAAGTAATGACTTTCTGTTGTGATATATCTTTTTTAGACTTAACTCTTCTTGTTTGTACACTATTGGTTTATTTCTCTTTTTTTATACACTGCACAATAACCTGCCCTGGTCTGGTACATTCAGTCAAAGTCTGAAGAAAAGATCTGATTAGCAGCATAAAGTCTGAAGAAATGCCACACAGACAATGTTAGAAGATCACATGAGAATGCATACATTACAGTGTCTGGATTAATTCATTCGGTCTTTGCTTTCTTTGCCTCAGCTGTGGTCTCACAGGTCTCGTCTTAGTTCCGTACGAACGCTGCCTGAGAGGTCAGGGGTCAGAGGTAATGGCAGGGAGCCGGAAGGCTTACGGACTGAGAGCTTTCAACGGAAAAGGCTTGGCTCAGAGAGGAGCAGTCCTCATGTGGGAGTAAGTCATCACAGGAAGCTTTCCACAGCTTCAAGTCCATCCTCTTACAAGGGCTGGACGGCGGAGGAAGATGAGGAGGAGTTGGACCACTATGGCTATGTTCTGCCTGGGTCACCTGGAACACCAGAACGAGGTAAGGTATACCCAGAAGAAAAATAGCATTTTATCTACATTATCTCCACGGAATAATTGATAATTACTTTATTAATAAATTAATAAATCAGATAAGATTTGTAACTCATTGCACCCTGAGTGATATTCTGTTTTTTTTTTTGTATTGTTGTGTTTTGATGACTTTGACTAACAATGAATTTAATGCTAATATTATCATTATTTGTTTAAGAAAGAACATCATATAGGATCAGTAAAGAAAGGTGTAATAATGCAATTAAAAGTTATTTCATTTCCTGAACTATTATGCTTTCCTCATTTTTAATGCAAAGGACTTATAACCGACTATTATGGTTATACGATCTACAGTGGAAGGGCAATTCTTTGTTGTAACATTTCTATATTATGAAATATTTAAAATCTTTGAGTCTTATCTAAAATTAGAATTTTCTGGAGAAATTATTTCTTATTAACCCTAAGATAATCGAAACCAAAAACAATTTGAATGTATCAGTTAATGATTAATGGCACTTATAAATCTCTATGAGCCTCAATACAATAATGATTTTTCATGATATTTTAATCTATTGAGATCTAGCGGGGTAATTGTGATTGTTTTTGTCTTCTTGTCATTTCCTGGACCAAACACTATTGAGACCTCTTACCCAATCTTTTTCTTCTGTCTTTATGGCTCACAGTGTCCAGAATAATTCGTTCTGGAAAAAGAAACTCAAAGAAGAAAAATAATCTGCTTCTCCCAGCAGTAAAGCCCTCTCAAGAATATGAACTGATGAGCACCGAATCTGGTGATCCTCCATCTTCATCCGGCAGCATCTCGTTACATGATGACGCTACAGATCCACTTCATCAAAGAGTCATTCCTCCTACATCTTCAATCGTGATGGAGTCACAAAATGAAGCTCTACTCTTAGGTGCAAAAGCTAATCAAGTCCATGAGGCTTGTGAAGGAGCTGCAGCAAAGCAAATAGACACAATGGAGGAGGAACATCTTAATTACATATGGGAGATCAAATCAGAAGATCATAAAACTGAGGTGTGCCGAGGGATTTGTAAGTATGAATATATGGATATAAGGCACTCTGACTCTTCAGAAGGAGGTGATATAGAATTGGAGAGAGGTGGTAATAAAACAGCTTTGACGAATAGATTAGAAACAAACCAAACAGCGGAGAGTTTAGTCAAAGAAGACATTGAAAAACAAGCCGCAGTTCAGGAGGAGCTGAGCTGTAGGGTTGTGTCTGGGACAGATGTGCTGCCAGCTGTAGAAAGTAAGGTAGAGGAGTATAAAGAGATGAGTGGATCTGGAGAAGAACCTGGCGAGTGGGGTCTCCCAGAATATGAGAACCTCCCACCAAAGGCGAGGGCTGTTCCTGGGGAGGAGAGTGACAGGTGTGCAGGGATCGGGGAATACATCAAGGTGTGTGCGGGCATTGGGGAGCCCGGCAGCAACACTTCCTTTGACAACCCAGACTACTGGCACAGCAGGCTGTTCCTCAAACCAGATGCTGTACGCACATAATGAGTTGGACTGGGACAGAAAAAACAGGAACAGATCCAAGATTCTGTGAGATTTGGTCATTTTCGATTAAAGGGAAACAAAAAAGAACATATTTTTTTTTACTTCACATGTTTTTAACCTAATATGAGTCAGTAAAACAAAGACGTTACAGAGTGTTTACAGGTTTATTCTTTTAATAAAGGGCATTTAAAATTTATTTTTGATTTTGCTGTTTCATTTTTTTATGTTTTTTATTATTTGTTGTTTTTTTTCTTACGACTGATCCTGTCATGAAATTAGAAAACAGCCTTTGTACTTCATATTTTCGTTGTTGTTATTGATGTTGTGTTTTGCAAATATCTATAATAATTTGATTTACAGATTTATGTACAGCAGTGTTTTCATTGTCTTGCATTGGTTGGAAAACATAAAAACAATTTTATACAAAGTCTTTTACTTGTTCAGGTTGTGCTTAAATCTTTATCAAGGTGCATAATGGATGATCTTAATGGACAATTTTTGTATAAAATTTAAATGGTACATCAGTACCTGCCTTTGAACAAGGCGGATACTTCGTCATCAGATTGATCTGATATAATACATCAGATCAATGTATTTTGTATTGGTAAAACATGTTTTAATCAACTTGTAATCAAAAAGACCCCCACATCAACTAAATAGATAAAAAAGGAGTGTATTATAGGTGGTACTAGACGGGCAGTGCCACTGCAGAACAGGCCCTGGCTCCTGTTATGGCCCCTGTGCTGGAAACATTGCAAATGTATTTATATTAGTATGTTAATTTTTCTTAAAAAAATGTATTTTCCCTTGACTTGACAATTTGCCCATAGAATCAGATAATTAGGTTTTTAAAAAACAACTATATTATTGTACAACATATCTAATTATCCAATTATAAAGGTAAAAGGCACATTCCTTTGCCATATCATCTTATTTTCGAATCAAGTGCAACCGCACTTATTTTAAAAACTATTTACTTATTTAGATCAGTTTTTGCATCATACTAAATCAAGTTTTTAGGATTAGCCTACATGTGCTGACAGAAGCACAAGGATTTATTGGACTTGTGTATTTTACAATTCAATTAAAAAAAATTTTAGAAAATAAAGTCAGCTCCATGTGTATTAAGAAAGGCTTTGTAGCTCAGCTAATGTTTTTTTTTTTTTTTGTGATGCTGTTATTCTTCTGTTCTGTGGTCCCTTAAAAAAAACGGAAATTACAGCTAGAAACGCTACTCTACTCTAACACTCTCATACTTTTGATAATTCCGAATTTGGGTTGGGTTTTTATGGAAGAGGATTAGGGCCACTGAAGAAAAAAAAAAGTTAACTGATTTTCAGATATTATTTCAATTTAATATTGGGGGAAAAAAAGCAGAATTCTGCCTTTTTTTCTCAGAACTCTGACTTTAATCTCAGAATTCTGACTTTTTTTCTCAGAACTATGACTTTAATCTCAGAATTTGGGATCTTAATGTAGATGGGCACCATGAAGGAAGAGATGTGGGAGCACTCAGCTTCACTGACAAAGATGTGAATTGTTTGGGAGGGCCAGTAACACATTGGGGGAAAATGACGGAATTAGGTGCCAGAGGGCACGTAAAAAGTGATGCTATTTCATTTATGTTCTTCTTTTTTTTTTTTGACCCGATCTAGTTTAGGCTCTAAAACAAACATGGCTATGGCTTGATAACTAACATGTTTGTTAGCTGTCATAATTAATTTAGAATTCTGAGATTAAAGTCTGAATTCTGAGAAAAAAGTCAGAAATCTGAGATTAAAGTCAGAATTCTGAGAAAAAAGTCAGAGATCTGAGATTAAAGTCAGAATTGGGAGAATAATGTCAGATTACTGACTTTTTTCTCATATTATACAGAAATAAAATTTAAAAATCAGTTAACTTTTTTTTCAGTGGCTCTACTCCTCTTCCGTGGGTTTTTTGTTCTTTTTTGGTGTGTTTGTGTGTGTGTTTTTTAACCAACATAACTCCTCATTGATATACGGGGTTTTACCTTCCGGGCCAAACAAGCAGTGAACTATCTTGACTGAGGAGCGAGTCTTTGGCAGCAGGCGGGATCACCTTTCGGCTGAAACCAAGCGGGACAACAAGACCGGTGTTGTGTGTAAAAGAGCACCCCTGTTTTAAAAGCTTCTTGTTCGTTGGGGGGAAAAAAGTCTAAAATACCTATAAGTCATACAGTTTAAATATATTTTTTGTTGTCTTAAAAATATTTTTTCTGATGTTAACACTGTTAAATGCTGCTATTTTCTTGTGAAAATAAACAAATAAATAAATAAAACTCATATTTATCAAGAAATAAATGTCAATACTTTCAAGAACTGAGTTCTAGTTGCTACCGTTAAGCTTAATTAATTTTTAACGACAGCAAGCGATTCCCATAAAGAAAAGAAGAAGAGAGGTTATTTTTTATGTTGCCTTTCCTGGCCGGGGTACCGTTTCCCCCGCAACACCGGTGGGTGGCGTACAGCAGCGCGTAAGCAGTGTGGTCCTTTCTGCGCCTGCCTGCCTGCCTGACTGACTGACAAGCACCGGGAGAAAGTTTGTCTGAGTTCTCGGTCAGCATACTGCCAACATGTCTGGAGATGATGAGACACAGGAGCAGACCATCGCCGAAGACCTGGTGGTCACCAAGTACAAGATGGGAGCAGAGATTGCAAACCGTAAGAGGAACGAGACGGATCAGTCTTTAAGTCCCCGTAGTTAGCAGAGTCAGCTACCCGGGATAAGCAGCTGTGCCATGTGCCGCAGCATGCAGCCAGGGCTGGGTTATATTAGGAAAAAGAAGAACAATAGTCGTAACCGAAAAAACTTTGGTTTGTAAACATCTACGCGGATATTTCACTTTGTTCTCCATTAGCTTGAATTATGCTGTATTATGAGCTTGGCTGTTAGCTTTATGACTGAGCTAACTGGTTAGCAGCTAACTGCTAATCTATCAGTTATCAATGGAATATAGCGGAGCAGCAGGGATTTAAATGTGAACCCACAACTATACTAATTTAATAAATGCAGTTTCAATTATACTAATAAAAATAGTCAGTTTTTCCTTTATGTAATTAAAGTAAAATGTATTTATAATTTCCCTGATGTAATGGCATAATATAAATATATTTAATCAATTTTATTCTGCACTGAAAAGTAAACTTAGCATTTGTAATTCCTTTAATCTGGGAATAATTCCCAGTTTGATCTTCTTTCCGTTTGTAAACAGCTTGTTGGTGTAACAGCAGAAATTCTGAACTGGGCACAGTCCACTTAAAATTTTACATTAATATAATTTAGTGTTAAACAGTGGGTGTCAGATTAAGGAAATCCTGGACACATCATCCCCACCGTGGAGCATGGTGATGGCACTATAATGCTGTAGCGGTCATTTTCTTCATTAGTTTCATGGAAGCTAGTGAGATTTAAGGGGAAGATGCGTGTAAATAGAGATCCGTTGAGACTGAAACCCTTTTAGTCTGTAGACCTTTCAGGCAGGACAACAATCCTAATGGACTGATCAGAGAACAGTCTAGTATTATATTAACCCGGTCGAGGGTTCAGACCTTAACCTGATTGGCAATCCTCAGTATTCATAAATTACATCCAAGCTTTTGGCTTCTTTAAAAAGAAAACAACCATGAATCTTCATTCTATTTTACAATAATGCATTACTTTGTTTCACTCTACCGCATCAAACCCTAATTAAAAAAAAGGCAACATGACTTTAAGAAGATCAGTGGATTTGATTACTTTTGGATATCCCTGTATTTTTTTATTTTTTGCATATCCCTGTATATTCGCTAGCCATTCCATGCTCCCATTCACCTCCCTTGTTGGTTCTTTTGTTGTTCTTCAGAGGCTTTGAAGAAAGTAGCTGAGGTGGCTGCAGCTGGAGTCTCCGTCTTAAGCCTCTGTCAGAAAGGAGATGAGTTCGTCTTGGCGGAAACTGGTAAAATCTTCAAGAAGGAAAAAGACATGAAGAAAGGTGAATGTTTTTTTTTTTTTTTTGTCTTTTCCGTCTTTGTCACCCGTTTGTCCGACTCACCTGCTTAATCCACCTCCTCTGTCTCTCAGGCATCGCTTTCCCTACATGCGTGTCGGTTAACAACTGCGTGTGTCACTTCTCCCCTCTGAAGAGTGACCCTGATGTCATACTGAAAGACGGGGATCTTGTAAAAATGTAAGCTGCCAGGGATTAAGCCCATCCCGCTGGACGTAAAAGGTACTGCGTTCACTACAGACATTGAAGCTCTCCTTACCTTTTGTCTTGTTTTCTTGGCGCGCAGCGATCTTGGGGTGCATGTTGATGGCTTCATCTCAAATGTGGCTCACAGCTTCATTGTTGGAGCAACCAAGGTGTGTTCTCACCCCTGGATTGATATCACGTGTGCAGTTTTGTGTTTGGAAGTACTGATTGGTCCGTTTTGAACTTGGCTGCTGCGTCTTCCTCAGGAAAACCCTGTCACAGGGCGGAAAGCTGATGTCATCAAAGCAGCATACCTGTGTGCAGAAGCTGCTCTCCGGCTCGTCAAGCCAGGAAACCAGGTAACAAAGGCTCCCTTTCAGATAATGTGGTTTTTCAAAGGTATTCATGCCCTTCAAACTTTTTTGTTTTGCCAGGTAACAACCCAAACAAAACCAGCAGAGTGTTTTATTCAGTTTCCTCTGTGCTTTGTTGACTCTTTGCAGGAGTTACAGCTGCAGTTCATTTAGGGCCTCCAAAGCTTTAACCATCCTTCTTTACAAAATGCCTCCAGCTCAATCAGTAAATTGTTTCCAGTGCTTTGCTCAGATTCAACTGGACTTAGGACAATTAAACATATTAATATGCACTGATCCGACCTGCTGAATTATGGATCTGATTGTATGTTTTGGCTCATTATCCCCTTAACCATTAATAGGACACTTAGTGAATTATTCCAAAATTCAACATTCCAAGTTGTTTTTTATTGGAGGATGGGACAAGACCTTATTACTTTTATAACATTAAAGATTACAAGTATTTTCATGTTGAAAATCGAGGCCATTGTTATTTCCATAAACAGTCAGTCAAATATGCTCAAAATCCAAAGACGACTTCTATAAGAATATCATGTTAAACACTTAAAGAAAATAATTTTTTTGTTCCAACATAACCCTTTAGAACATTGAATCTAATAAAGTTTAACATTTTACATCAGCTTTTAACTGTTTTTACTTGGCTTATTACATTTTTAGATTAGCTAACAATTTTTATACTTAATTTAAAGTAGATAACGTATCAAAAACAACAGGCGACATCAGATGACAGGTGGTACTCTGTGAAGCAGTTACTCAGACATTGTAGACCTTGCGGGGTCTTGTTGCCTTATTTGTTGCAAAGATTTGTTTAAAAATAGTAACCTGGACCATAAAGTTTTAAGCAATGCAGCTTTATGAGTCTTTTCCACCCACTAATAAGTTCACTCCTCTACAATCTCCTGTTCTCACTTTCACCTCTGTTGTAAACTTTAGCAGCCATAACTTTACTAATATGTTTTTGTAGTTTTTCCACTTTGTATCGACTCTTCTGGTAAATTGATTAAAGAAATTATCAATTTTCCAGGTTTGTATATGTTTAAGTTGTTCAAAGCCATTCATCATTAACTTTATATTTATGCTCTACTTTATGATGGTATACTAGAAAAGAATCCCTGTGGAAGAGCTTGAAATATGTAGTTTTAAAATGAGAAAATGCAAGGATGTTTATAGGGGTGTGAATACTTTTACGTAAATAACATAAAGATGGCTATTGGAGCGCCACTAACACTCCTGACTGAATCCTATCCTTCAGAACACACAGGTAACAGAAGCCTGGAACAAGATCGCCAAGTCGTTCAAATGTTCCCCAATCGAAGGTGGGTGCTTGTGAAAACCAGCCAATCTGTTTCAGGCAGTTATCATGGCATTAGGCTCATTTTATTCCTTCAACGTCTACAGGCATGCTGTCTCATCAGCTGAAGCAGCACATGATCGATGGGGAGAAAACCATCATTCAGAACCCAACGGACCAGCAGAGGTGAGCTTTGTCATCTATCCCCCGTCCTGTTGGTCGGTTCTATTATGAATTAATTCCGTTATGATTTCTCTTTACAGGAAGGACCACGAGAAGGCCGAGTTCGAGGTGCATGAGGTGTATGCAGTGGATGTGCTGATCAGCACCGGGGAGGGAAAGGTGTGGATACAAAATGCTACAGCTACATTTTTATTAATTATTTTTAGATCCTAAATAATCAAGGAATTGTGTTTGATTATGCAGGCGAAGGATGGCGGCCAGAGGACCACTGTTTACAAGCGAGACCCCAACAAGGTTTATGGGTTGAAGATGAAAACATCCCGCACGTTCTTCAGCGAGATGGAGAGGCGATTCGACACCATGCCTTTTACTTTGAGGTAACCGCTTTTCTCTTCATCCGTCTTTTTTCCACAGTCATTCCCTCTTGTACATTAATGTCTTCTGATCTTTCTGTGTGCTCAGAGCATTCGAGGATGAAGGCAAGGCCAGGCTGGGGGTGGTGGAGTGCGCCAAACACGAGCTGCTGCAGCCGTTTGCTGTGCTGAACGAGAAGGAAGGTGAGTGAAACGATGAGACTGGTGACGCCCAGCAGCTGCTGGGAAAGGAAATGGGACAGAAATTAGTTCCGCTGAGACGAGACAGTTAATTGAATTAAAGCAGAGTCGGGTTAAACTGCTGATCTCCCAGTAGGGCTGAAATCATTAGTTATTGCCATTCTCACCGTTGGAATGGAAAAGAGAAACTGCACTGATGTTGGCAAACACAGAATATCATAAAACACACAGATATTAGATCTGATTAAATCTGTTCAGGTTGACATTGCTGGTTTACTTGGTGGAATCACAGGGTTAATCATTTATTTATCGGTTCAAACACCAGCTGACAGATATTAATATTTTTCCCTGCATCTTCATCGACTGATGCATGCATGTCTTTGAATGGGGAAAGAAAAAGCAATATTGGATGAGACTGCCAACACTTTGGAGATCGGTTAGACTTATATCAGCCGTAATCTAGATCATTAAGGCGGAACTGTTTTGCTGAAAATCTAAATTTCGATTTAATTTTTTCCCTACAAATGTTGCCATTTTATTTTTTTTCACTCACCCTATGCATGTAGATTTTTCACTCCAGGCTTTCTTGTTTCCTTGCCTTATAAGCTTGCTTGTCCAGAGTCCATTGTGGCAGGACTTTACTGTTAATGTTTTGCGGGAAAGTGGTTTCTTCTACTCTCTCTTCCCTCATATGAGCCACTTTAAGCATATTACAGCCATCTAAAGGACTGGAGTAGGGCTGCAACTAACGATTATTTTGAAAATCGATGAATCGGCCGATTATTTTTTCGATTAATCGATGAATCGGACACAAAATATTTTTTTTATATTAACCTCTTTATTCCAAAATAAACATTTTAGACAGAACAAACAAGCACACAAGTACAAGTTGCTCATTAACTGTACTGGTGCAATATGAAAAATTAAATGTTTGTTTTAAAACTACGCAAACTTACATGAGAAATGTAGCTGTACATCCACAAAATATAGGCTACTTTGTTTCATAAAGCGCAAAAAGAGACATTTTTGTTTTTTAAAGCCCCTAAGGGGTTCAAACAATAGGCCCCCCCCATTTCAACAAATGAGTTTTTTTTAGACTAGAAGAGTTCTGCCTTTTAAGACAGGAAAGTATAGCAGTTAAAGTTGCTACTTGAGAAAATACTGAACCATAGAGATAAAAATAGCCCTGTGATTCAAATTATAAATTGTATTTGGAATAAAAATGAGAGAAGTAGGGGTGCTAAAAAACACATCCTCCAAAGACAGATATTTACAGGGGAATGTGGCAGATAATTAATTGACATATTACTGATCTTGCTGGATTTTATTCTGCTTTACTTCCATAAATTGCAGGATCTTCTTTACTTTATCTTTGCCAGAAGATTTAAACTTTAAAAGCCTTGCCCTCATAATTTGCAAGTTAATTTATTTATAAAGAAAATATAAACACTGCTTAAGCTAATTCAAATGAAATTAAAAGTAAAATAAGTAGCCAACCTTATCACTGTCTGTAACCTACTAACAAGGTAAGGAAAGCATCAGATGAGCTACCTGAGAAACTAACGTTACGTTTCCCCACTTTAAAATGAAACAAACATGGTTACTCATCCTGCTGATCAGCTCTCTTCACTGCCATCGAAGGCTCCAACATGTTTTCTTTTCAGGTGCTGCGTCATAACAGTGGTGCTTCCGTGCCATGTTTATTTGTCTTTACAAAAGTTGCATGTTACGACTTTTTTCACTTTACAAAGGCTATTCTAATTATTGTGATCAATTTGCGCCGTCAATCCCGGGGCATGCGCGCTTCATTTGCAGTCTGGATGCTGAGGGTAAACTCCTCACTAAAATCCTGCGGCTCGGACTGCAGCGCTGAGAGGGATTCTTGTGGGAGAGGGAGAAAGGCGTTGGGATGGGGGAGGCGCCCCACGGCAGCAGCTGCCGCTGGAGGACAAGAGTAGGAACGATACATGCTTTCACGTAAGAGTCTCCAAAAGCCGCCAGTGACACCGTAAAAAGTCGCCAGATTTGTCGCTAGTCGCTTTTTAAAAAAATAGTCGCTGGAGGGGTCTGAAAAGTCGCTGAGTTGGCAACACTGCAACTGCGGCGCTGACTCGCTCCGCCATATTTTTTTTTCTTCCCCGGGATGACGGCGGCGGCGGATGACGCATTAATCGCGCGACACAACTAATCGATGATTAAATTCGTTGCCAACGCTTTTAAAAGTCGATTTTTATCGATTTTATCGATTCGTTGTTGCAGCCCTAGACTGGAGTTAGAAAACTGGGTGTCATACTCTTGTTAAATGTAATGTGAACACAACTGTGTGCTTCTGCGATATAACAATTGCGTTTTGTAAATTGTGATTATTTTGAAAATGCAATGAATTGTCCAGCCCTTAAAGAACCTAATGATTTGTTATTGTTCAGGTTTAAATACGTATAGAAAGAGTTATTAGAGTATTAGTTTCCCATCAGTTGTTATAGATCCATCCATCTGTCTCCACCCACTCAGTCTATCCATTCATCCATCTACCCATTTGTCCATCCATCTTTACTCTTGTATGTTCATCCATGCTGCTGACTAATTACCCACTCATTCATTTCCTTGTGTTCATTTATTTTCTTTTATTTATTTTTTTATTCACGTTTCCTTATTTTTCCTCCATCTGTTATCTTTTTTTTCTTTTTCTTTTATGTAAAAAAAAAAAAGTCTGTCCGCAGAATAAATATCGGAGCCTAGCTCATTTGAACTTTTTGTGTTCATAATTCAAAAAGAAGGATTTTAGAATATCTTTTGGAAATCAGAATGTGAAAAGGTCTGGATTTTTGCCATGTGTAGAAACTATTCCTCACCATCTTTGATCTTCATTCCATCTTTGCTCAGGGGAGTTTGTGGCCCAGTTTAAGTTCACTGTGCTGCTCATGGCCAACGGACCTCTGCGGATCACCAGCAGCCTCTACGAGCCTGAGCTCTACAAGTCTGAGCACGATGTGGAGGATCCAGAGCTGAAGGTTTGACCCCTTTCATGGATGTGATTTTAAAAACGTGTGTATTCAGATGTTTGTTGCTCTTATACTTATGTCTGTTGGTGTTTCTTCATAAAGGCTTTGCTCCAGAGCTCTGCAAGTCGCAAGACTCAGAAAAAGAAGAAAAAGAAGGTGACGCTCTGACCTGTTTTCTGAAAATGCTTTCTAGAACTTTTTCTCAGACCTAATTTTATCTCTTATGGCAGGCTTCAAAGACTGTAGAGGATGCAACAGGACAAGCAATGGAGACTGAAGCTGCCGAGTAAATTTCAAAACAACAGAGACAGAAACCTGATGACCCAAAGAACAGACGTCACGATTCTTTCTGTCCCGGTTCTCTGAGGGACTGGAGGGCTTAGCTGCTGTCAATACCTCTGATGTTAGTCTGGGAGAAAGCTGCTCCTGAATCCTGTCACTCCCAACAAAAACACACAGCATGACATTGAGAACCAGTCATTCTAGAAAAACTTATTTTATTTTATTTTTTACATACTAGAACCGTCATCCGCATGAGTTTCAACAAAAACCAGAAGCGTAGTTTGAGGATCTGCCTCCTTTGTTTCTGGTTTTGCTCCCTGAAAGACACATTTTCTCCAGAAATGCTCTCGGCGGAGTTGAAACAGCGAAACACATGCAAATATACGCAACTGGTTAGCTTTCCCAGCTTGCTATATCAATTTTGCACCATAGCAATAGTGAAAAATGTGGTAAATAAGTTTGAGCAAGAATATAGATCATCGTGCATTCAGGGGATTACAGGTGAATCCATATCTTTACAAGGAGTGATAACTTGTGGATAAAGTCAATGAAATAAACATTTTATTACAGCTTTAGTTTCTGATGAATTAAGCAGAATTACAGCATTTACACTACCATCAATTAGGTCATCCATTTTTAAAACTGACACATCGAGACTTGTCATTTGAGTGATGCAACAGTTTTCCTTCATTGTGGGCAAAGTTTCAGCAGTCGGTTCTCTGGTACAACTGTAAGGTCGTCTGTTTTTACATCTGTTCAAATTATGGCTGTTTTGTAAATCCAAGTTTCAGAGACTATTTTTGGAAAACAATAAAGAACCACCTGACACCAATCTTGTGCTTCTTTTCTTTTGGCAAGTGTTCTCTTTGGAATCAAGGTACCGGTAATTAGGAAATAGGAATATTTGGAGTCTTCATTAAATTATATATATTACGATAATTAATTGCTGCATCAGCCATCGACTGGTTTGTTTATATTTCTGGCTTTGTCCAGTGCTACATTATGTAAATTTTACTTCTGTTTTTATGTGTTTATCAGCTGTTTTTTGGGGTGAGGGTTTCTTTAGTACTCTTGTAGGGTTTAGTAACATGTTTTTGTGTTTGTTTGTTTTTTCTCGTTGCCAACACATTTGCTTATGTCCTGTAACCACTTCTGCTTTTGTTAACCAATTGCAATTAGAGCTCCACATAACTATCAACTTTGCAATATTGTGAACGTTTCATAGATTGAAGACAGCTTGACTGTAGTATGTCATTCATTGGGAGGGATCATAGGATCATGGAAAATTATGCCAACCGTGGAAAGGGGCAGTCGTGGGTGAGCGGTTAGGGTGTCAGACTTGGATCCCAAAGGTTACCGGTTCGACTCCCGACCCGCCAGGTTGGTGGGGGGAGTAATTAACCAGCGCTCTCCCCCATCCTCCTCCATGACTGAGGTACCCTGAGCATGGTACACTATATTAGGCCTTCAAAGACAATTGTCAGGGCTAACAGGAATTGGAGTAGATCAGGGATCAGGAAAAGTTCAGTGTGTTTTTAAAAGTGTCCAAGCTATTACAGTGTTCAGTGGATGTATAACTGTAAGATTATGATTCCCCCTCTAAAAATGGTTGCAATGAAATTCAAATTTGCCAAATAAAGTATATATATATATATATATATATATATATATATATATATATATATATATATATATATATATATATATATATATATATATATATATATGTGTGTGTGTGGGGGTGTGTCTGTGTCAACAGTAATAAACATAAAAAAAAAACTACAAAATATTTCCCCCTGCTGCTCCTTTAAATCTCCTCAATTTCGTCGCGCATAGTAGACGTCACATGTCATATAAATACAGTGTCGCCATAATACAACGTCAGAGGTGGAGACGGTTCCTTAGCTTTCGGTGAGTATGAAGTCTCTACCAGAATCCACTGGAATCCATGTGTTTATAGTTTACATAAAAGCATTCTTTAATGTTTTTTATTTTACTTTCAGCCTTCCCTCTTCGAGATGAGAGCTAAGGTTGGTGTTTGTTTCTTCTATTGTGCGATAAGTTTATTTGAAATGTTGCCACCATAGCCGACATTAGCCATATTGAGTTAGGCAACGTTTTCCCCTTTGTATGGAGATATCAGATTATACCCGTTTAAAACTAATAACAATTTCATGCATTTTAATTCAAAATAATTGTGTAATATGTCAATGCTTAATGATAAACTGACAATTATAAACGTGCTCTTTGCAGTGGAGAAAGAAGCGCATGCGCAGGTGAGGGTTGTATCCTAGTTGGACTCATGATAAAGCTTACTAATACATTTTAGGATATTTTAATGAACTATGTTTTGGCTGTACCTTCAGGCTGAAGCGTAAAAGAAGAAAGATGAGGCAGAGGTCCAAGTGAACAGTCCTGTCTACTCTGTCTGTGGCCATGATTCCATCAGAAAGGCCAGAGAACCAGGAGCCTCCTGTGTTGAAGCCTGAAGGCCTGAGAGAGAAGATCAGCAGGCGCTGAGGAGATGATCCAGATCCTGTTGGATGACAGGCTTTCCCACTGGGACATTCTGGACTCTTTAATCTCAATTCCTTAACTTTTGTCATTTGCTATTGTTTATACTTTTGATTAAAGTTTTTGTTTATAATATACTTGCATTTGTCTCCCTATTTTCTTTTTTTAATGGCATTGTTATTCCGTTCTAATGGAAGTACTTTTAAGTTTTTACATTGTTTATTTTTTTGTGTGTGTGTAGAAAATCAGTCTTGAAAGAGTCATTAATCATGAAACCCTTAACGGCAAAGCACCGAGGTTTAAACAAAGTCCAAAATGTTCCAACTAAATAGGCGTATGCCTAGTATTTACTTATTGGTGCCAGCATTATATTATATATTTGAGATGGTTTTTATTAGGTACTCCCTTATGTTGCCAACGTAATGACTGCTGGGGTCCTCAAAGTACAATTGAGCTACATAAAATGAAATAACTAGATTGAAATTAAGCGAGTCATCTGAAGATGGTCTTAAATCAAAATCTTTGTATAGAAATTTTAGGTCACCATTAGACATGGCTGTAGCACACTGTGTGGACTTTGGATGGGTTGACCTCGGTCGGGGATGTTTATATATCCATTTAATGTGGGCCTAGTAGGAGTAACTGGCTGTTTTCTACAAGGACTTGATATGCAAAGAATGATGGCTCTTTTGTAGATTTCATAAAATAAGTTTTTATAACTGCCATGATCGGCATCTATGCATTGAAACCATATTGGTTCTTTATGAGCACTGGACGGCAATTCCGTCTGCCTGATTTTGTGCCAGCTTGTGATGCTCATTCTGTGAAGCACATGAGGGATTCAGGTAAAACTGATAAAAATAAAACAAGACTGCAAATTACCATGAATGAAAGAATGGAATTTGGGAAATGTTTTTATTGCAGGAAACTTTAAACCCAGTCTTGTTAAGTTTCTCTCTTTCAAGAAACACAGATTGCAGGACATCTAATTAAATTGGAAAAACACTAAAGGTAGATAAATGTAGTCCTGCGCTCATCAAGGCAGTAAACCTTTGTGCTCAATTGAATAGGACTTAAAATCCCGAATTTGATAACAGAGTCTATTTTTGTGTTAAATGTGGCCTAAGCCCCCAATGTTCACACAAGCCTTTAAAAGTTGTACCCAAGATTCAATAAATTTTGCCAGCAATGGTGTATTTTTCTCCAGCTCTGTGGATCGTATAGTGGTGCATACCTCCCACTCCGTTAAGTGTTGCTGCAGCTGCAGACTCTTGAATCTGCATGACTGAATATTGAACTGCAGATCTTGAAATGTGACTAAATATCCAAAAGTGTTGGAAACAACTTAACTGGCATTTCTAAACAAAATTTACCTGAGTGCCATTGTTCTAACAGGAAAAAAAGGGCCACAAACCCATTAAATATATTAAGTGAGCAACAGCAAAGCCAAGTATGCAGACCTCTGACCTAACGGATGAAAACCATGACCCTTTATTATTAAGGCTGGAGCTGACTAATTGCTGATTGACTGTTAAAATAAATTGTAATGGCAAAAATGTTTTATTGGTCTAGGGGGGACAAATCAGTTCCTTTCTGTTTTGGATGCAAGTAAGAAATTGTTTTAAAAGTATGCTGCAACAGCTGATCTAAATAAAGATTACTTAAGATAAGCACTTTTACCCTTAGTTCCAGCAGGTAAATAAGATGATCAGCTAAAGGAAGGAGTATTTCTGCTTTTGTAATAATAAAGGTAGATATGATGCACTGGAAAAAACATGTTACGGTTGTTTTTTTCTAATTCAAACATAAAAAGTCTCTTCCTATGGCAAATCCTCTTACCCATCTGCTCAAATCAAGGAAATATTAGTTACGTAAAAATAAATTGACTTAGATTTAAATTTTTCTGGTGTGTGTTTTAAGTATATGCGTCCTAACAGGGGGTGTGGCCTGTTCTACAGGGGCACTGGCTAGAACCCCCTTATGATCTTTATGGCAGACAATAAAAAAAAAAGGGAAGTATATTTTATCATGGCCAATGTAGTAATCACATTATTACACAATTTAGCCTCGGCATGATTCTCATTTCAATTATAATTCATGTAGTTCATCCTATTGATGCTTACCAGACTCTTTTTGATGTAATGAGTAGGTTTTGGGACACATCAGCTGTAGAAATTCTGTTTTCCTTTTTAATATTACAACAGCTTGTGGAATCGTAACATCTGTCTTCCACAACTTGTGGGTATTTTATAGATAAGTTAATTGAAAATTAACTCTCTAAAATAGCAGTTGCAGGGAAGAGGATTCTCACTAGATGGCGCTGCTTAAATAATCCCAAAAAATAAATATTTAAGGGACCAAAATGTTTTTTAAAGTTGATTAATGATCCATGTAATTATTAAAAGATTAGTTAGTTCAAGGTTAACTTCCCACAACTACATATAAACTATTGTGTTATTGACTGTAAAATGTTATGAAATGTTATGCCAAATGTTTCACTTGACACGCATGAGACGCAGTTTCAGGCATGACTTGCACCTTTTCTTGCCTCAGAGCCCAAAATATTTCAACATCTCAAACTTATTATCCTGTGACTTCTACTTCTGCTTTTGCCGTAGCTCAGAGAAAGTCATTTTATTATTTGTTATCAATGTTGCTTATGTCTTACTTAATGTGTGGGTTTTAGGGTTTCAGTGAGCAAATAAATACTTTTTCCTGAGATTTAGTTGTTGATCATGTGAAAAAACAGGGTGTGATGCAAATGAGTGAACTAACATTGAGTATTGGTTAGTTTAATTTAAATTCAAAGTGTAGAAAATGCATTAAAAAATGAATAAAATGGACAGAACACCTTTCATCTTTCAGCCACAGACATTGTTATGAATACGACATGTGATGCAAGGGATTTGCAATAGTTGAGTAAGAAATCTTAATAATCAAAATAGGGACATGTAAGATGATCTAACTGTAAATCAAAATGAAAAGGAATTTAGTTTTTGTTATTTTTGGATTATATTTGAGTTGACTTATTTGTGTTGACTATATACAGTATATATATATATATATATATATATATATATATATATATATATATATATATATATATATATATATATATATATATATATATATATATATATATATATATGTGTGTGTGTGTTGTGAATTTGGCGCTATATATATAAATTCAGTTTATTTATATAGCGCCAAATTCACAACACACACATATATATATATATATATGTATGTATATATATATATTTATAGATAGATAGATAGATAGATATATAGTTCAGTGTTTTCTTAAAATCCTTTTTT